GGAGGGAAGGGACTGAAGTCCATGAAATGTATTCCTTGTGAAGAACAGTATGCCTTAAGGGATTTACTGCAATAAAGATTTTTTTTTTCTTTTTTTTTTTGCTGATCCCCTGAGTGTATCTTATTGGGGGGTAGGAAAAGGAGGGAGGAGCTAAAAAGACTTAAATTGTAGGTAACTCATAACTTGTATGGAAAATGAAATCTATATGCATGGACACAGACATACTGTCTTCCCGGGGTTTGTGATGCTCATCCCTCTCCCAGGAGTATCGATGAATCAGTTTGATACCTGTGTGTGAGTGATGGTCCCCAACGTAGCGATGGAGAGGCAGTCGTTCCCATTATCTTCTGTACCCGGGCTCCAGTTCTGACTGCTGAACATTTGATAGAACTCTCAAGTCATGTAAATGGATAGTAGAAGTTAAACTAGGTCTTTTGAAGAGCTTGTAGTTTTGGGTTTATTCTCTTAACGCTCTACTGACATTTGCGTGGTAGGAACTGGTGGGACTGGAGCCAGTATGCTAGGCTAGCCAGTTACTGCACGCTACTTTCCTGGCTGAAATGGTATGCTGCAGCTGCTCCCCAAGAGACCAGGAGTATGATTTAAAAGTAACAGCAACAACAGAGCTCCCATAGGAATGCAGGGAATATTGCATGTCTGGGATTTTGGGAAGAGCTGTAGCAAATGTGATTGTGTTTGCTGTGATCTAGTTGGCCTTGCTTTGAGCATAGCGATTGGACCAGATGACCTTCAGAGGTCCTTTCCAGCTGAAATTTTTCTGTGATTCTTTGTTGGTATCTGAATCCAAGCCTGCTGTTGGAGTGGATGCCACTTTCACGCAACTGAAAGGATTAGTGTGGAAATAAAAAGACTAACGAACGTGGCAACTGCTTGGTATGGAAAGCGAGTGAAGAAGACAGTTGACAGAACTAAACCCAACCCTCTTCTCCCTTCTGTCAGTGAAGTGGGCAGGCTGTCTCTAATCCACAAGGTTTTTGGCTTGGCCCAGGATTCAAGTTAGAGCTATATTACTTTTGGATAGTAGAATACAAGCAGGCACTACTGTTGATCTCATCTTTGTGCGCTGACGGAGATTGCAGTCTGTCAGCTTAGGCTTTGACACCATGGTTTATTCTGCCTGCAACCATCCAACACCACTGCTTTGTGTTTTGCTGCTCTTGTTTGGTTTTAATGTAGATGGCCTTGAGCTTGTGGCTTGCTTACCTGAGAATCTTCTCCCTGGTTGCCATACTGCTGCATCCGTGGTTGGTTCAAATGCTTACCATATGGTAACTTCCCCTCGAATATTGCTGCCTTCTGGTATGTACGAAAGCCTCGCTGGGATAGTTAGAGCTGCTGCCTGACCTAGAATGACAGCTCATATGTTTTGACCTCTCTGGAAGTCTTTCCCTCTCTTGGGAATTTTAAGTCTTGAGAAGTTTTAGTTTGGGTCTTGCTTTCTCACTGTTTATTGTCAACGAATAATTCTACTTTAAGCTTTCATATTTAGGATTCTTTTTCATTTAGTTATAAATACTCTAGTTTTATTCCATTTTAGACATCTGCAAAGACTTTAGCACTAGGTGAAAAGGAGAAGCAAAGCAGAAGGTGGCAGAGCTATGCATAGGGGAGAAAACAAAAGAGGAAACAGATTCTAAAATTTAGGTCCAGCAAAGTCTTGATGGCCAGTTGTATGGTTGTCGCATGATCACATGATTGTTTAAGAAGGTACAAAGTTGGGATGATAACCAGTTGTTTATGTTGTCTTACTTCATTGCAACGTAAAGCTAAAGACACTCTCTTGACCTGTTGTGCTCCCAAGGGCCATTTTTGTGGTTATGCTGGGCATGGCCGAGGTAGGTGAGGATGCAGTGCAAGACTGATGGGACTGCGGGATGGGAGGACTGGGAGGCGGGTGAATGGAGAAAAGTGGCAGGCTGGCTGAGAAAGCTGTTGGCTCTGAGAGCTGCCAAAGAATGGGAGCTGTCAGAGATGACTGCCCCACTTGCGGTATGTAGTTGCATCTAGTGCGCTGCAGGCCACACCGATTCTTTAGTCTTTCAAAAAAGAAAAAAAAAAGCAGGGGGGAACGATTTACTTGTGTTATTGCTTACCAACAATATATGGAAAACATTTGGAGAAGTAAATAATTAGCAATATGGGGAAGATGAGTATCGGTTCTCTGCTGTAGACAAGGCATTTCTTTGTATCTTACAAATAAAGGTTGGAACGTTACAAGACTGCTTTGGCATATCTTGAGCTTTAGAATTGAGTATCAATGCTTCACAGAACATAATGAAAATAAGGAATTCCGGTTTGTTTATGCCTCAGAACATTACTGTAACCATCTGAGATGCAACTAGCATAACCTTAGTTTAGGTGAAAGTAGTAATAATGCTGATAGGAAAGCAAAGTATGAAGGCATTTTACATCTCATGTTTTCCACTAGGCAAAAATATGGATGAATGCCATGTGTCCATTTTCTCCTTTGTGGGTGATGATATAGCTTCCTGATGCTAAGTTTCTGGACATGAACAGATGCACCAGAATGTGTTCAGCCACCGTGGAAAAGTCTGCCTGGGATTGTCTTGCCTCTCTCTGTTTTATACTTTTGCGAAACAGGGAAGTTTGAGGTACAGTGTAGTGCCTGACAGTATGTTTCCTCTGCAGCTGTCCAGAAACTCATCTTTTAAAATGTTCTTTGATTTTTATATTCCAATTATATCTTCCTAGTGCTGGATCAGAATCAAGTGTAGAAGTGGTTTTTACAGGTGTTTTAGGGATGTTCTTACAAAAATCCGTTTTATTTCTCTTTACAGTTTTAGAAAAAGTAAGAAAATATGTTTTAAAACATTTCCATATTTAAAGACTGCATAAACCAAAAAATTCTCTCTCTGATATTTAAACACTAGTAAGAAGTGATAGGTTTCACAGAACAGATTAGACAGGTAAGGATCTCTGGAGAGTGTGTGGTTCAACCCCCTTGCTCAAAGCAGGGTCAGCAAGAGCAGAGTGCTCAGGACTGTGTCCAGTTGACTTTGAATATCTCTAAGAATGGAGACTCCACTGGGCAGCCTGTTCCAGTGTTTGATCACCCCTATAGTAAAAAAAAAAACCAAAAAAGTTTTTTCTTACGTTATAGGGGACAGAGTCAAAAGCCTGACTGAGGTAGTAATAAATAATATCCCCTGCCTAACCCCATCTACCAAGTCAGTTGTCTCATAGAAGGTTGTCAGGTTAGTTAATCAAGCATCAGTTCCCCTTTCTGACTACTTCTGATCACCACCTTTTTTTTTTCCTTCAAGGTTATTTGAAGGTTATTTTAATTTTTTTTCACCCAAGGTTGTTTTCAAGGTTATTTGCTCTATTGCGTTCCGAAAGATGAAGCTGAGGCCCCGGGTCCTCTTTCTTGCCCTTCTTGATGATTTTGTAAAGCCTTCAGAACCTGAGTTGTAGGCACAAGGAAAATGAACCATTTCACGCAAACTTCTGTGCAAGATTCTAGTTTGGCATGCCGTTATGTAGAGATTAGTACACGTATATAAGTTAATAATTAATAAACAATTGAAGTCACATACAATCTGGTTAAAAATGCCTCCTTGTTGCCTTATCTCATGCCTTAATACTGCATCTTTCTTGTTTCTACTAATGTCAAGGACGTTGTATTCTGAACTTCTGCTGATTAAAAACAAGCTATTAAAGTTTTGCGTCCAGTTGTCCATCTCAAGCAAAAAGATGTAGATGTTCCTTAAATGAGACACAATTAAATGTTAAATACGTTTCACCGGATTGGTATTGTCTTTAACATTTTAGGCAGCCCCAGATAATACTTTTTCCCTGAAACATTCTTTGATTCTCTAAACTTTTGATTTGGGCAAATGTATTTCTCTGAACTGAGTGGCTTCATTGGCAGAGGTCTGAAGCATGCCACAGAATTAATTTGCCTTAACAGGCAGCTTTGTGTCAGCTGAACCACAGTGACTGATGTTGAACATGTTTTTAACCTATGGCAAATACAAGATAGAATGTGTTAGCTCATACCTTAATGAAAGAGTTGAAGCAAGTGCATTCTATCTTGTATTTGTAATGACCTAAGAATGCACAGGTAGTTTACTGTAGCTTGGTAAACACTTGGTATTAAACTCATGCGTTAGAGCGCTAACTGTTCCATAAAACAACAATTTGGATGAGGCAGTGGCCAATCTTGTTCATTAGGTATGTGATTTTTAGATGTTTAGGAGCTCGTGACTCATTATCTGTCCACCTCTGCTCATTTTGCTGATGCTTTTGCTCCAGGACTAAATGGGGTAAAAGTGACTTTCTGAAAAGTGCAGCAAAAAGCAGTCCACAATAGACTGGCACAGATAAACGTTTGGTAGTTCTTTAGCAATCAGATACTGAAGGCTAATGGCATGTGTCCAGTTGATCACATTTGACATGTTGAAATGCAGATGCCTACAACATATATGAGTTCTTACAAGGATGCTTCTGCCCTTTCCAGTTTTACTTTGGTGAAGGACATTTTATTGTTTTCGGCCCAAGTCCCATCCATCAGCATGGTTTAGATCACTTTTAGAAGTATTTTATCTCTGTATGTGTTTCTCTTGTCTCATTCCACATTTGACTTAATGTTGTTTTAATTTGCTTGAAACAAATTGAACAAGACAATTACTAGATTTTGATTTATCATGACCCCTCATTCTTCAGGGATGAGGATTTTGGCTCGGAGAGATCTCTCTGTTTTACCTGCTGGAAATTACAAGGCTTGTTAAAGAATCAAAAGACAGGCTGAACAGCGGTTGTTGCTTCCACTCTTTGGTGGTACTTCACCTTTTTTCAGGTGGATGCATCATTTGATTTTAATTCTTCCTGTGTTCTGTGCCAGCTCCTCTTTTTGCTCTGTTCCTGTCTCTCTCTCTCTTGTTTCCTGATGAGGCTTCCAGTGAGCTCCCCGTTGCTTCCTGTTCTCTCCTCCTTGGCTGAGCAGTGCTAGTGCTGAACTTTCCTTAGATCTTTGTCCCTTCCTCTTGTCACAGAGCCTTTGGATTGCAAGCGCTCATCCTTCTCTAAAGGAGCAGCTTCCAGATAACTGCTGTCTCAGTACCAATTGACAAGGAAAAGAGTTGGTGCTTTATCTCTGTCCTCTAAGTATTTTTCTCTGGCCTATTAGGACAGCGCTGTAAAGATCAGTGAGTGGACTGGTGATGTTGTGGCTCATACATCAGTGGTGGAACTTTGGGTTACGACAACAATGCTTAGTTGCTTGAGGATGCAGTGAAAGGTTACTACTCTTTTTAGTAGGAAAAGGTATCCAAGAAATGTCCTACTAGCTCAGCAGACTTTGAGAAAGGGTATGACAGTCAAGTTTGTCATGGCAGATTGATGACCAGTGGAGGTTAGAGATCATCCTCAAATACTCTTTGCCATACAGGGCTTTTTCATGCTGTAGTACTGGTAATTTTGATAGCTGCCAAATAGTGTTTTGAAAGCCTCACCCTCTTCTTGCCCCCTCTCTCCTCATGATTTGTCTGGTAGTGTCTGATACAGGCAGCTGCAAGAGCAATCTGTGAGTAACTGGCACTTGATGTACTATGTGTAGCAATAGCTTCATATCCACGTGCATGGCTAGCCTGAACTTCTCCATGGACTGACAAGTACATCTACTAAAAGAGTGGTTCTGTTGAGCTAAAACCCGTACACAGTAGGATTTGAGGGAAGATATCACTAGGTCATGAAAAGGCGAAGAGAGGTGTGTGCCCAACATGAAAAGGGCAAAGTGACGGCAGGGAAATGAACATGTGTTTGGGGAGGGGAAGAAGAACGTAGGTCATTTCCATATCATGAAGACAGGTTCCCTTTGAACTATTTGTGTGGCGGATACTTATATGTATTATGTATGAGTAGACATAGACATACTATGGTATATTAGGTGAGTCCAGTTATAGCCTAAACATTCAACATTTGCTTGTATGTAGTCTTAAATCGTTGAGAAATTGTATCAGACTTGTAATGGTTCCCATTACTTTTTCTTTCTTTCCTGTTCTAAGAGATACTATCAGCACATCATATTATACATCTATTTTATATATATATTTATATATATATATTTTATAATGACACATTAAACATATAACAGTCATATTTTTGCTTTTGGTATTTTCTGACTGATGTTTACCTATGACTTTTATGGGTCTTTTGATACTTTATAAAACCTTCAGTTAATAATTATTTATATACAAGTGAGTTGAATAGTTATGAACTTTCTGAGCAGCATTTCTGCAACCAGTACCTCTGTGTAAACAATATTAAACACAAGAGTATAAAGCTAATGTGGTAGCAGAGGAAAATGGATTTTTTTTGCCTTTTTCTAGATAAGATGGCGTGATACGGGATACTGCATAATTTTTCTAATCTCATAAATTATAAGCTTGAAAGACTAAAGGTTTTAAATATGTTCTTTAAATGAAAGGCTAATCAATATAAGAGGAAAAGAAAATAATGAAACAGAATTACCATTACTCCTTTTTCTCTTTCTGATCCTTGAAGCATTAAGGTCATAAAATTAGTTTTGTTCTGGTGATGCTGTATCTATTTACTAATAAACTACCTGAAAGATTATCTATATTTTTGAGGGCAAAAAAGAGGGCATTCTTTTTTTTATTTGCAATTATTATTTGTACAGTTTTTGAGAGGTATTTAGAATGAGGATGTGTGTTTCCTTATTGGAAATGAAGCTTGACAAGCACAGTGGCAAAAAACCTATATTTTTTTTAGTTGGTACTCAGACTTAAGTATTTTTCTTGTACGTGTAAACATTTTAGTGTCGCAGCTCAGAATAGAATGAGAAAGTGAAACTAGCAAAGTCCCAGCCTACACGGTAGACTAAATTCACTTGGATGCATGCTGCAGGATTCATTCAGGCTCAATACCATGTTAGAGAAGAATAAGCTGTGTGCAGTATTTTGCATGTCCAGATTTTATTCTGAAGGAAGTCAGAGTGCAGCATCAGGAGTAGGCTGCGATGTGCTCTGGTAACTTCCCTACTCGGAGTGAGAACAGGATCAGTGCAGAAGGACAAACTAGAGCTTTTCTTTCTATGTCTTGTGGACTTTGCCAAATAGACAAAATTTGTTTCACAGAGCTGAATGAGTTGTAAGACAAGTTACTTGTTGCTAAATATAAAGTTATTCCATTGGTTTACTGTAGTGCAGTAAAAGAGACAAGGAGAAACTTAACTACATGTTTTTTAGATTGACGCTTATTTACAATACCAACTTGGTTGACTACAAAAATCTGTGCTAAGCATTGCAGGATGTTAAATCTAATTCTTAATACTCTGTTCTGAAAAAGCTTGCTTTGGTAAAGAAAGGTAAGTGCAATTTACCTTTTCTTTACTGAATAAGGAACAAAAGCATACTACATCAGTCCTTAGGTTCTTTAATATTTAACCATCCAGGGGTCTGTTCTGAAACATTGACCTTTTCTGTTGTTCCAGCTTAATGAAGATAGATTTATTTCCCCCCCCCCAACAGATACATATGACTAATCTGACTGTGATTTCAGTGTAAAAGTCCTTTAGTTGACAGACCTTCTTCCCTAGTGAAACAGTAACTCATACAAGCTTATAAATACTAGGACTTTGTATTGTGCGTAACTTAAACTGAGGCTATCCAGTCTTTCCAACTGTGTGACTAAGTCACCTCTTAACACTCTCCGTACTGCTGAGAGTCACAACATGCACTTCTAAACCATATATAACACTGTGTCAAAAGGCAGTGGAGCTCCAGGAGATAACGGGCAACACTGGCTCCTCAGCGATTCCTCCACTTCTGTGCAATAGGTGCCGGGCTAGGTAAAGAGAGTAGGTGAGTCCCTGGGTAATGTGGCGATCACAGCTTCAGCAGCCCCTGCCAGCTCTTTTCCTCCTGGCGCCAGGGATTTGGATTACCCAGCAGCCCCCCTACCCCAAATAACCCTGCCACAGCACAGGAGCTGCATTTGACCTGCTCGTGAGCCACATGCAGCTCACGAACCACAGGTTCGTTACCATGACTTAGGTGTTAGTTCATTTACAAAATTTGTATTTCGTAGTTCTAATCCAGTTGCTGTTGTTCATATGGATTGCACTGCATGTTTCCAGTTGTGTGTAAATCTCTAGTGTTGAATTGCATGACTGTTCTAGCATATACTCTGTATGTCTCTGGTTTTAATTTTGCCTTTTTTTCTTTTTATTCAGACAGGGGATTTGGCTTCTGTGCAATTAACAGGAACTCCAAATAGATGGGAGGTCTTGTCTGCAGCTCCTGCCACTATAAAGGATGAAGCTGGTAATATAGTACAGATTCCAGGTGCTACCACAGTAACTTCAAGTGGGCAGTATGTCCTTCCTATTCAGAGTTTGCAAAATCAACAAATCTTTTCTGTTGCACCAGGATCAGATTCGTCGAATGGTACAGTGTCTAACGTACAATACCAAGTAATACCCCAGATCCAGACAGCGGATGGTCAGCAGGTTCAACTTGGCTTTGCAGCCTCTTCTGACAATAGCAGTATAAACCAAGAAACTGGTCAAATTCAGATAATTCCTGGCTCTAATCAAACCATCATCGCCTCTGGAACACCTTCAGCTAATATTCAGAATATCTTATCGCCGTCCGGTCAAGTCCAGGTTCAGGGAGTTGCAATCGGTGGTTCGTCTTTTCCTGGCCAAGCACAAGTAGTTGCTAACGTCCCTCTTGGACTGCCAGGAAATATTACTTTTGTACCCATCAACAGTGTTGATCTAGATTCTCTGGGACTTGGCAGTGGTTCTCAAACCATGACAGCAGGCATTAATGCAGATGGGCACTTGATAAATACAGGACAGGCCATGGATAGTTCAGATACTTCTGAAAGGACTGGTGAGCAAGTTTCTCCTGAAATTACAGAAACCGCCACTGATAATGACTTATTTGTGCCAACATCATCTTCATCACAATTGCCTGTTACCATAGACAGTTCAAGTATATTGGAACAAAATGCAAACAACTTGACCACAACTAGTGGTCAAGTTCACAGTTCTGATCTTCAGGGAAATTACATCCAGACATCAGTCTCTGATGACACACAGGCTCAGAATATTCAGGTCTCCACAGCACAGCCAATTGTACAACACATACAGCTTCAAGAGTCTCAACAGCCAACCAGTCAAGCCCAGATTGTACAAGGTATTGCGCAACAGACAATCCACGGTGTGCAAGCGAGTCAAAGTATATCTCAACAGGCTCTTCAAAATCTTCAACTGCAGCTGAATCCTGGAACTTTTTTAATTCAGGCACAAACAGTGACGCCTTCTGGGCAGATAACCTGGCAGACATTTCAAGTGCAAGGAGTTCAGAATTTGCAGAACTTGCAAATTCAGAATGCACCTGGTCAACAAATAACTCTAACCCCTGTGCAGACTCTCACTCTTGGTCAAGTTGCAGCAGGTGGGGCGTTGACGTCAACTCCAGTTAGTCTAAGCACTGCTCAGTTGCCAAATCTACAGACAGTTACAGTAAACTCTATAGATTCTGCTGGCATTCAGCTGCATCAAGGAGAAAATGCTGGCAGTCCTGCAGGTATTTATTTTACTCTTTTTGCACAAAATTGTTTTTTATTATTGCGTGTGGTTGGTTTGAATGGTGATAATAGTAACATTATTGTCTTGCTGTGGAAGCTTATAAAATGCAGGGAGTTAAACATAGTGATGGTAGATTTTATTTGAAACTATTGTTCCATTAGAAACTACTGTGGTGGTAGAACATAGTCCCACCTCACTTCTTTCAGTATAAACTCCTGTATCTCCCAAGTGGTTCACTGAACTTAGCTAACAGCACTTCTAAGACATGGTTTATCAGTGCTTATAAGTCTTGCTGTGCAGAAGATCTGCGTACTAAATTGTGGAGGGGGAAATCTGACTATCAACTACCACTGTTCTAAGACAGCAGTGTCATTAGCATACCCCATTCTTCTCAGTCTTGAATAGATGAAGTTTTCATGGAAAATCCTAATATTTCTGTTGATACAATTTTTTTCCCCTGCAAATTTTCAGACCCCTGAGGTGCTGTTATTGATCTGCTGTTTTGATAAATTTGTTTCCTACTGATTTAATATCAGTGTGACTATGATGTACAAAACTCATGTAAGCAGAAGTGAAACAAGCATGTAAATATCAAAATGGAGGCTGTGCTTAAGAACGTATGTGGATTTCCAGTACTACTTATTTGCATTATGTTTCAGAATGTACAACTGTTAATGATAAAATTCGCAGTGTGTTTTGTATCTGTGAACAGAGAGAAAGGCAATTTTCTTAAAACAGGTATTTCTTAATGTGGGGAAAAATAAACATGCCTGTTTATTTTTGGTGAATTTGATGCAGTGCATTCCAAATTTTAGGTCGTAGCTACCTAAAAGAAAGAATAAGAAATGATGGAGATTCAAGACATTTTGCTGTACCAGAGACCGTTTAATGTCATCATTGCGGGGTTGTACCCAGGCTGGTTATGAGGGGTAGTGAGCAGTAGAGGTAATTTGGGAGGGAACTGTTGCACAGGTAGCTTGGGAATTACTATTTTGCTGTAATTGTGTGATCCAAGGCTCTGATTCATTAAGATACTGAAGCATAAATATGTAAGTAAAACACTTTTTTTTTTTATTGTATGCCTATTTCAGCTTGTGAGAAGAATGCAATGTTAAGTGAAAAATGCCTAGAGGAGCTGCTGAATTGGGCTTGTTTCAAAAGCCTACTGATTATAATGCTTATGTAGTTATTGATATTTGTGTATTTTATGTCAGTAAACTTGCTTCCCCTTTGGAATCTAAAATGTAAATTTAAAATAATAAGCTGGGATGTTTTTCTAGTTATTTTTGGTTTGGAAACGACTTCTATATTGCGGACTTACCAAGGTAAAGCTACCCAGACCTAGATAATCCTGCTCCTCGTTGGCTTGTAGGCAACAGCACCAAACCGCTGAGTGTGCTGCTTACACCATTTGCTCTGCTGGGTAATCTTGATTCTTAAATTTTCTATTTCCAGTGACCACAAAAAGTCTTGGTTTGTCTCCATCACACCTGGTTACTTATGAGGACAGTAGGTATAGACATCAGTAACAAAAGGCATGTGTTGTGCATAGTAATACAGCTGAACTCGGATCTCAGAACCTAACTCTTGGAAAAAGGGCCCTGTAGCTACATGATCTTATACCAATTATAAATCTCAGAAATAAAGAAGTTCTCATCCTCCTTGTATTTAATATTAGCCAATGTTACTGCTTGTGGAGTAACCTAACAGAAACTTGAGCAGAAAGAGAAAGGAAAAGGAGAGAGGAACCAAGAGAAAAGACAGATAAAAGAAGTTGAGTCTGCTCTTTGTGTTAGTCTGTGTGTTCACAGTCCTTGAAAGTGTTTTAATAATGGTTCATAATAAAATGCAAGGGAGTTCCATCAAGCATTCCTTAAGTGTATTTTTTCTGTGAGGAATTTCATGTGGGAAGGGAAGAGAGTAAATGGGATATATGAAATGCGATTAAGGCAGAATCGGTAGATGAATAGCAGAAACTATTGCCTGAAGTGAATGGCTATAAACACCTGGTTATATTAATGATAGGGTGGAGATTTATAGTGACATTTTTCCTACTTGTCTAGGACTAGTAAATGGACTGGAAGGTATTAAATCTGCCATCCCTTAAATTTGGGGAGAATTTAATTGGTCCCTCCTTTATGTTACAAGAAACTTACTTTTCCAAAGTAATGATCACTGTGAAACTGCTTTTAACTAACAGAATCAGACTGAATTATCTTGACTGACCTTCAATGTCTTTTCATATGCATCTGGTATTTTGTCTATATCAAAGTTGTCTGAGATAATATTTTTCAGTGATGTTGCTCCCCTTCTTATATATAACCCCTTACAATATAGTATGTCACCCTTTCTTCAGGTTGAAGAATAAAGATGCAATTAGAAGCAGATAGGTGAAATTACAAAAAAATTTTTTGCAGTCAAGAATTTATTGCTTTTCTGATCTGTAAATGAGGAAAAACAATTTAGTTTTAAACTGAAGGAGGAAGATGTGTGGAAGGGACAGCAGAACGAGACAAATCAAAGGTAAAGGGCGAGAGGCTACTTGATTCCTCTTTTCTGCAAACTTTCAACAAGTTTTGAAGCAAGACAAGAAGGGTTTCCCTTGATTTTCTTCCCCCAACCCAGAAAACGCACTTCTTTCCGTAACAAATAGTCAGGCTGTATTTTCCGTTTTCATTTAGCAAAGCTTTTCTACCCGAGGCAAAAATAAAGAGAACGTATTTTAAGTCTTGGACCAGAGGTGGCTGGTAATTACCTGAAGTCCAAATGATGTAGACTGCTCTGTTAGCAGTCTAGCTGTGAAAACTGTGGGTTGGGTTTTAAGTTTTGGTAGCTACAGCGCATTGTGTGAGAGGTGTTCTTCCAAGCTTCGCTTCCCATGTAAGCAGCAGAGCACATCTTTACTGTTCGCATGAGTGTGTGAGAGGACAAAATGTCTTTACATAGGTCCTACATTTTGTTTACATAATAGGCAGTCATCAGTACCCTAATACAAAGCTAATAGCTTTGTCCAGTAAATGTACAGTTTTCTTTGAAAAATATCTAGTAATCAGTCTTCTACCAAAATATCTGCTTTACCAAGTGTGTGTACACGCAGCCTTCCATTGCACTGAATTTGTTCTGAAAAGTCTTGGCTGAGCTACTTTTATCTTAGAATACTTATTAGAGCTCGTATTCCTCCTCACTGTGCTGTCTTGTGGTGGAGAAGGGGGAAGTGTATTGGTTAGTCATAGCTGAAACTTTCTTCAGCATTGCTTTTCAGAACGAAAAGCTGTATTGATTAGTATCTATGTCTTAAACACTGGCAAAGACATTCCTTTCTCACCTGTGTTCTGGCTTCGCTCTTCTGGTCTTGAGAGTTAAATCTGAGAAAGCTCTCTAGTAGTTAACTCCTTTTGTTGGCAGTTTGTAATAAAATACTGCATTGTGTGTAACAAAAAGGGCTGTTATGTGTGCAGTTCACATTACTCTCTAGCAGCTTACCTGTTCAAGAAAGGTGTTTATTAGCATGCTTATAGATTACTTCTTAAAATATTTGTTATAAACTAACATTCCTTTTGGAAAAATACAGGGTACTGAAATGTACCAACATAGTTTTCGTGTTTATGATCATGCGAGTTTTGTCAGTTTGAAAGAATTTTTAAGTTACTAGCTTTTTTTCTTTTTTTTGTCCAGACAGAGGAGACTTAACAGTGTTAATCAAAATGGAACTGTAGTAGGGTCTCAGCTAATTTATTAATTTACTGAATCACAATTTTGGATTGGCTATTTCCTGATAAAAGGCAATTTTACCAGGTCTTACCTAGGTTGCTTAACTTTTTATAAGATGCTAGATGCATTTTTTTTTTTTAAATATTTCTTTTGACTATTCCAGTAGCATCTGAAGAAACTAGCAAGTGACCTGAATGAAAGTAGCATTGGCTTGAGAATGGACTTTGCTGCTTATCAACCCAGATGTGCTCAGCTGGAAGACTCATTTGTTTAAAAATAAAAAAAGCCTACAAAGTTTTAAGTTTTCGAGGTTGGACTACAGTTGGAATAAAGTCAGAGGGATCCCTTTCAAGGGTTGACTCAAAGTGCCACTGCAAAACTGAGGTTTTAATTCCCTCATCTTTCTTCCCAGCTCCTCCTGTGCAGGGGTATATGCAGCTACTTATGGACTCCTCTGCCTGCTGCGGTTGGAGTTTACAGTCGTGCCTGTTGATCAACTTATACCAGTTGATAGAGAGTAGGAGTGGTTGGCTGACTGTGGTGGGGACTTCATTCCATTCCTGCCAGAACCCGAAGTGTTTATCATGCTGAAGTAATTTTAGCTATTCTGTTCTAATAATTTAGCTGTTCTTTTGAAGCTGTTTTAAATTTGGCCAAAAAATTGGCTGACAATTTTCAAGGTAAATAGTTGGCCAAGTGACAACTTATCTTTTATCTGCTGGTGTCTGGTGAGGCTTTGGTCTAACATCTGTTAGGTAAAACAGTCTAAACCCCCAACCAAACAAAATTTAAAATGGAGTATGTACAGTTTTACTTGTAGAGATGTTTGTTTCAATATTTTAATGCCTCTGGTGAAGTAGTGCTACTTAAAGCATAGCTTTCTTCTAGCATCTAGAACATTTAAAAAGCTTTGACTGATTTTCAGTATGACACAACTTAGTTTTTTCTCTTTCTTTTTAAGTTCCAGTTTTTAACCTTATTAATTTTACTTTGTTATGCAGTTTTTCCTTCTAAGGCATTCTTTATACCAAGCTTTTGAGAGAAAGGCATGGTGTTGTTATGAAATTGAATCTGATTACTAAAAAAAGTCATATGAAATGCATGAAGTAAACTGAAGCAATGATGTTAAGTAAATATTTTCATCTGACAACATCTGTTTTGGGCTATCCCATTTACATTTGAGGCATTTAGTTTACATTTTGTAAAATCAAAATAGTTAAAAACAATTTCTGCACTGTTTTATTTTTGATATGAAAAATTAAATTGGAAACTGACAAATTTAAGCTA